GACTCATCTGATGCCACTTAAAGAAAAGAAAAAAAGTGCAGTGCATCAGAGATACTACAAAGCTGAATTACATGTCTGGGTCTGAGACTTCTGTGGGTCATTGCAATTCTTAGATTTATATCCTATTTCCACCAGATACTCATACAGAAAATTCTATCAGTTTGCTGTTAAATCGCCCTCACTGGGGTGAGTACTGTATACGTCTGGGCCTCCCAGTTCCTGGTCTGACACTTTAACCACCGATAGAGGTATCTTGTCCCAGTTGCATTCTGTAATGTATCATCATTGTGACAAATGCATTTTAACCCCAGAACATCCTGAGGTTTTTTATCTGAAATCGACCAATGGGTCGAATACCCAGCAATGCCCGAACGGTCACAGAACACCCCCATTGGTCGATTTCAGATAATACCACTTGAAACAAGAAGTGATTTGTGCTACTTAGGACCCCCTGTCTACATTGGATGATACATCAATATAGAATCTACTCTCAGAATCTTCACATCTGTCATTTCTGGAAGAAAAATAGAATATTCTGAAATTGTAACACTCAGTCTTGCTTATTAATTATTACTGGTAGTGTTTTATTATTGGAAGCAAATAATATTTATTCACATTCATTTTGTAGCAGTGTTAAAAAGTACTTGTATGACACTTTAAGCTATTTAGCTGACTTTGGCTGATTCTGAAAGCTAAGCAAAGTGGGACGTGATCCTAAACTGGGAAGCTGAAGTAACATTCCTAGAAAAAGGCAGTGGGAGACTACTGCTGTACTGTAAACTACATGGACGGGTCATGGGAAGCTGAGGAAATTACATGGATGGGTCACAGGAGTTGAGTTTGACTTGAAAGAGATTTTAACTTTACTCTGGCAGTTAAATAAAGTCTGGATTCAGACATCACCATTAGCTATAATATGGTTGATTTGGTTTGTTGTGTTGTTTGCACTGAGCTACTAAGGTTTGTAAACCATGTGGCTAGTTAACAAACCACAATAAAGCAAATTGTGGTTTAATGCAAATGAGTTAACCCAGTGAATATGTAGCCACTAAAAAGGGCTGACCATCCGGTTACAGAGAATCAGCTGCTTTTGATTTTGGATGCTTCATGGTGGCCATCTCTATACAGCTAGATTTTCAAAAAAGGTGTTATATACCATAAAGGTATGTAAGTACGTTCAGTCTTAATATTTAACTTGGAATCTATGAGGCAGCTGAAGAAAATCACATACAAAAACCCTCAGTGGAACTCTATAATAATGGAAAGGTATCATGTTATAATCAGGCCTAAAAAGTTCATCTTCAATAATCAAAGGTCTATATTTTGCATTGTAGAACGTGGAATACAATTGAAAAAGCTTTATATTATCATTCTTTTCACTTTGAACGGGGTGAGATTAACAACATTCATAGTCCTCCACAGGGCAGCAAGGGGTGGGGGGTGTCAGAGCAGAAAACATATGTCACACATATCCATTTGGGTAATTAATTGAGGCACATGAACATAAAGGTGGCATTTGTATGATGACATTACCATGCACTTGTCGTTATGGTGTCATTTGCTATGGATGCTGCTGACAACATCTCTTCTGAAGATCTAGTAATCCTGGTAGTATATTAGGCAACTAGTTATCCTGTGAATATCCTGTTGTGATCAATTTAGAAAGTGATAACCATCCTTTGAACACAGTCAGAAATGAATTGGTGACAGTTCATGTGACTAAAATCAGTGGCTACAAAGTATAGTAATTATGTACTAATCCATGTGCCCAGGATCAGGTCAGAGGAAGTATTGTAAGTAGTGCACCTGTAGTTAGGTCCTAGTCCTAGTCAATAATCAACATTTAAATGGTTGGATTAGAAAGGCATTTAGGGCAGACCCAAATTTTCTGCTTATCTTATTGAGCGTACAGGTCATCACTTCCAGCCCATTGCAAATGCTTTCCCTATACATGTTTTGAAGCTCTACCTTAAGCCTTTTGGAGTTGGTGGTCTGCAGCATTTTCATCCAATCTATTAACGCCCCCAGCTTCAGTTGGCTACAACATCTGGCATGCTTGTTACTGCCATTAGCTCAGGGGTTCCCAACTTGGGGTGCCCGCACCCCCAAGGGGTGCGAGATGGAATTTCAGGGGGTGCAACAATTTTATGCACTGAGTTAAAAGCTTATTTTTTAAAGTTCAATGTGTTTACCCGCATTAGAAATTAGACTTCATCTTCAACTGCGATAGTACTTTTGTAGAGGGTGCAAACATTAATCAAACATTTCCTAGGGGTGTGGGGCATAAAGATTGGGAACCACTGCATTAGCTTGTTACTGCCTTGGACAATAATTTCTTTCTGGGCTGCTGGATTCTTATGTTCTCTGCTGGTCAACAGCTGCCTCCCCCCCCCCTTTTTTTTTTAATGATCTTGAGATTGATCCAAACATGGTCTTTTAGGTCAATGAATCTGGACCAACAATTCTTCCTTGTTTTAGAAAGTTTCTATGGACCTACATTGGGATATAAGAACTGTGGTGGTAAAAAGTACCACTCCACACACAAGCCTGCATCCCAGGCCAGTGGCGAATCTGTCTTCCTGTAAGGGAGGCATCCTTTTTTCATTTGCCTTCAAATCAACCCTCCAGTTCATTAACAACATAGACGAATACAGGATATCTGCCCCTGAATCATATGTGGAACAACAGCAAAACAATTCACCTGCTTGTTACCATTTCTTTACCTTGACAGAATGTCTCAATCTATTTTCCAGCAGCTGCCACTTCATATGATTGATCTGAATCCCAAAAGACACACCAAGACTCATATCCATTCTATAGTGCAGTCAATCCCAGCCAACTACGTAAAGGGTGTACTTGGCATTAATTATAGGACATGTACTGGACAATATATTAAGTATAGAACATAATTATAGGCATTAATTATAGGACATGTGCTAGACAAGAATTGTTTTCATCTTAGTTTAATGTTATATTTTAGGACATTCAAGTAGGAATTTGCAGCAAAGTTTGCCATTAGGTTGGAGAACACTGAAGATGGATCCATCTCCAGGTCAAGACAGAGCAACTCTTTCAGCAGCTAGGGACCAGTTTGGCTGATGTTAGGATTTGGGGGCAGGATTGTTACTGTCGTAATTGTTGTTTTACTTTTTTAGGTGTATGAAGCACATATACTTTTTTTCTTTCATTTCCCATTGAAACATTTTAGGAAATTAAGTTTCCATGGTTTAACAGTTGGATTTTATTGGGAAATTCTGTTGGTGTGGTTTCTGGCAAATTCAACACCACAGCATTTCAGACAGCAAATTCCCCAAAATCCACTTTGGATTGTCAATGTACTTACAAAGGGAACAATATCAAATAAAGATTTTTGTTCCATGATTTTCAAATATTTAAAGCCATTCTTATTTATTTGTTTGTTTATTTATTTATTTATTTACTTACGATCAGAGACCAGTTAACAATGTAATTATAATATTTATAACACTTCTCTAAGCCCATATGATTATTCTCCAAAATTGCCAATGGGGTAGGGCAATTTGGAGATGGCTAGAGAATGCTTTCAAGTCGTAGAGAGTTTATTTTAGAGGCAAGATTCAGTCCGAAGTGTGTGTGATTTAGTCTATGAGGATTTTCTATACTAGTGATTTATAAGGTCATCCAGCCATCCCTATGGAAATATAAAGTCTCTGAGTTGGTGATTCATTGCCACAATGATTGCACTGAAGCTGTAAATTGCTAGTCTGGAAATACTCTTAATAAACAGTTCCTGTTTCTAGGGATGCTTCCAGATGAGGCTGTTCCTTTTTAGATTTTTTTAATCCCACCTTTATTATTTTTATAAATAACTCAAGGCAGCCTAATATTCCTTCCTCCTCCTCCTATTTTCCCTACAACCACAACCACAACCCTGTGAGGGTTGGGCTGAGAGATTGACAGGCCCAAAGTCACCCAGCCAGCTTTTATGCCTAAGGCAAGACTAGAACTCACAGTCTCCTGGTTTTCTAGCCTAGTGCCTTAACCACTGGACCAAACTGGCTTTATTGTGCAAGAACCTTGCCTCAGTCATGGATATTTACAAAAACGTTTCTCATCTTCCTT